TCAAATACGTCTAGTGGAAGCCAGCTAGATCTAGTCTATGAGTTCCTATGCCCTAGTCTATTGTGTGCAGACCCACAATTGTTATGGTTAAACATTAAACCTAATTAAAACAAGAGGTAATACAACATTTGTGGGTTTGCACACAAGAGACTAGGACATATGAAGTGATAGACATAGTATGACAGATAGAAACAAGACAGACGCGGTGGAGACTAGAGCTATTTGGGTAACAATATACGTGTTTGATCATAAACGTGATCCTTGAATCACTACTATTGTTAGCCAACTAGCTCTAGCTTCCACTGCTTCTATCCTCTTTCTTTCTATTATACACAAACGTTGTGGTTCAACATTTAACCTAATCAAATCAGGCAGTCGGACTGTGGACGTGGTACTTTGGAAATGATCATGTGCTTCTCAAAGTCTTCCTACCAATATGACTAAGTTGCGAAGACAAGGTCAAACAATCTTTATGTTTATTATTGCTTGCATGAAGTTAATTTAGATCATTAATACCTTCTGTACCTGTCACAATGGCCTACATTGGGCTATATTCCGATTGCAATGAACGTTTCATCTTCACCACATTGTACAACGTTTTTTTTCCCGACAAAATCTAGGACATATATGAAGCTAAGATATTTCTTTCTGTTTCCATATATAATTTCATGATTATGAACATACACCTGACCTCTAAACTATACAATCAACTCTTACTTTGCCTGAAATTGCATTTTAAGTTGGTCAGAGCTTTCTTTTAATCTACTGTTGACCTTTACACATTATACTGGTGGTGGTAGGTTGTGGTATTATGATAAAAGTGTTATCAGCTTCAATGACGAAAAAGCTTATAAGATGGGTGAAGGAAGGCTAGTTCTCGAAGAATTCCTTAGTGATATATTGTGACATAACTTTCCATTTGGAAGGAAAAGTTGGTTGGATGGAATTCTGGATGTGGTCTCGCCAGAAACCGAAGTAGGATTGTCGCGTAGGTAAGATTGTTGTTTTATGAGAAGAAGTCCTCGGCTCACCATCCTGCAAACCCAATGAAACTATGCTGAGCATTCGTCTGTACTGTGGCAGTTATAATAAGAGCAGGTATCGATACTTGACGAAATATAGCAAAAGTATACTAAACTAGTATTTTTTCATTTTATTTTTGCTCTATTTTGTTAAGTATCAATTCCTGCTCTTATTATACCTGCCGCAGTACAGACGAATGCCTAGCATAGTTTCGTTGGGGTCGCAGGGCGGTGAGCCGAGGACTTCTTATCCTAAAACAGTCTTTTCTACGCTGCAATCCTTCTTCGGTTTCCAGTGAGACCACATCACGAATTCCCTCCAACCAAATTTTCCATCGAAATAGAAAATCATGTCACAACTTATAAGATATATATTCCGGTAGTTTGTACTCTTCATTTTGACTTTGTTTGTAATTTTACAAGTCTAGTGAGCCATCCTAGTGTTAAAGAGTAGTTTTTCTCGTCGTTTGGCACTGTAATTTTCCTGTTAATACTACCCAAATAACTATTTAAGAGTGTGAGAATGTGAGGTTGCCCACTTATTATTATTTGTGCAGTCTTCGGTTTGGGCTTCTTCTGCCGCAGGGCTTTTCCAAAAACCAGCTCAACCAATGAAAGGCATATTTTGAAACCGACTGTCTGAGCAAATGGAGATGGTAATATCGAACCATCCGTCGAGCAACGTCTTACCAGCGTAAATTTATAACCCATTTTAGCTTCCGATTTTAGGTTTTATCTTTCCATTCAAGGTGACTTGGTCTTATTATCAGGGCTACTTAGTAGAACGCACCTAATTCGAAGTCGTCTGCCATAGTAGTTGTCATAATTCAGTGGAATAGCAAATGTGATGAGGCCACGCTAGATTTGCCACAAAAGGGCACACATTTTGTCGAGTGGAATGTAAAAAAGTAAGAAGTTGTGATAGAGCAGGAGTGCGATAAAACTGTAAAGAGTAGATAGATAGACAATACCAGAATGAGGAGTGATAGTGTAACCGTTTTTGGCAGAACGTGTTGTCGACGGATTGAATTTACTTGTCTCTTTCAAGAGTTCGTGGCATGGTGCGGAGAATGGCAGCACTGACTGAGGATGCCGACGAAACGTTTGAGAATGTACCAAGTCCACTCTCTAATGCTGGGAGTCATGACAACTACTCTGGCAAACGACGTTAGACTAGCTGCGTTCTATTAAGTCACCCTGATAACAAGACCAAGTTGCGACAACGAGGTCAACCCACTTCTATTAATCTTTCCAGCCTCCATCGTCTAGTTAAGTAACTAGGAGACTGTAAAATGAATATATATCACCTGACTCCATTTCCCTAATCAAATTATCGAGCAATTTGTCTCCCTCTTGCATTTTTTGCTATTCTTTCGAGGTGACTAAACTATGAAGTCAGCATTTCTAACGTTTGCGAATCCTTTTTTCCTTCACATAACGGAGCAAGATACTACCTCTAAAATCTTCCCTCTAACACAGGTGCCAGTGAGGGCTGTCTTCGCAATGTTTCCCTTCGTCTCCGGGCCATCCATCTTCCGCCTGGCGACACATTAATCCACGCTGGCGGCCTACTCTCCACGCTCTATTATGTGGCTCGTGGCAGTCTCGAGGTACTCGACTCCGATGGCAGCATCCTCGCGGTCTTAAACGCTGGTGACATGATCGGCGGCCTTGCACCCATCGTCGCAACGACGACGTCTACTGCTGCTTCATCAGCTGCTTCTCGGTGTCCAGGCAACGGCATAGGCGTCCGCCAAGAGACGGCGGCTGGTACTGTGAATACAGGAAAGAATGACCGTAGCGCCACAGCAATAGCGGCAGCCTCAGAGTTGCCGAATGTCATATCGGCTTACCTCTCCACGAATGGCTGTGTGACAAGACGCTGTTGCCGCGGCGATGCCAGCCTTCATTGTTCTGCTGCCTGTGTGGGCCCTAGAGACAGAGGCGTAGCAGCCAAAAAAGATGATTTCTATGCGGCTTTTTCACGACCAGGTAGCAAGACTAATCATTGCATCTTATCTTTCCCTAATCCCCAACTGTCTCTCCTTTATTTAAAGTCTCTACAACCGCATCACTTTAATGTTCAAATTTGTATTTTTCCTCCATTTTTCAGAGATTGTATGAAATTTATTC